GGTCCGTGCCGTTGGACGAGCTCTTCCATTGCTGACTTCATCCATATCCTGCCAACGTCAGGGACGACATAATAGCCAAGTATCAAACCTCCGTCTCCCACAGCAGTCAGTGATTGTGTACCTACGTAAGTAGCTCCCGTCGTCCATATCAGCCAGTTAATGTGTACCTGCCTCTCCCTTAGTTACGTCTATCTTTGTGCGTTTCACGACTTTCCTCTGGTTGTCGATGGCGATGGCTGTTGTAGAGACTAGAGCTGCCTGCTCTCTCCTCAAATCGTCGCGATTTCGGTCATAGTCCACCAAGAAAGCCTGTAACAGTGCCGGTGATTTAGCGACATATTCCTCTGGGAAGGGAGGAAAAGGCTCGAAGCTACCAGCCAATTTAAGGGCCAGCTTGGCTGCCGCGGCGTTTTCGTACTCCCTCTTCCTCGTAACATACTCGGACCTTATGGTAGCCCTGATTTGTTCCTCGAGGACCTTAGCTGCCACACCCATACGGAGAGCCAGTATAAGCTTTTTACACACCGACATGGCGCTTCCCGACACGATGAAAGGGAAGGGTTGGAGTCTCTCAGTCAGAGTGGCGCGGTAAGATGGGTCGAAGGACAAGCAATGAGCCCCGCAACTTCTACATTTCAGGTCGATCCCGATAAGGTAGCATGGCCATCCTTGTCTGTACACCATCTTCGTCCGAGATACGGCGTTCGCACGCATTGAACTATCTTCGCATGATGGGCACGCCCCGCTTGTAGGACCATAGATGTAGAGGTCGATAAACCCCTTGCGAATTTGCCACCCTATCACATCTCTAACATCGGCTACAGTGAGACCTTCAGGCTTCCTCGGCATAGCAGCACTTAGCTCCTTGGACACTACCCGCTCCAGATTGGTCCCAGCGATACTAGCGACAGGACCAGCACCACCAATCGTCGCTTTGGTGTCGATCGAAGGCTCGGGTCTTTTGGTGTCGTCCTTGACCGTAGGGTGGTAACCACATTCACAGCCACGAACCTCCTTAGGTTTGAGGGGGTGGCTAGTCCCAAATGGACACTTGAGGATCTTCTGGAACTCGTCGTACCATTTAGAAGTCTTCGGCGGAGCACACCCTCGAGGCAAAGTCCTTGCCTTGGAGGCTGCGAAGTTGGTTAATGTTTTGCGCCATTCGGCGTCGGATTTGGCGTCCTTGGGCATTCGGGATATGATATACTGCCATGAAGCTCTCTTAATTACCAAGGTTACTAGTCCATACTATCGAACTCGAGCGTGACATCATGAGAGTACACGGATGAAACCGTTTTAGGCATTTTGCACGCGTGCGTTAGGCTCAATGCTACATACCTGAATCTGCCGTTCTTTGAACTGCCGGCACCTTACCCGCGACCGACGGTCGCCTTCTTTCCTCTCTCTTTTTCTTCCTTCTTTTTTTCCCTTTTCCTTCCTCCTTTTCCTTCTTTTCTTTTCCCCCTTTTTTTGCAGTCATTTTTCCCCCG